CAAAACACGAAAAGGACTTGGGAATTGTTATAGACAACAAACTATGCAACAATGTGCAATGTCAAACAGCAGTGGTTAAGGCCAGTAAGGTATTGTCATGCATGAAAAAGTGCATTCATTCTCGGGATGAGAATATCATTTTGCCTCATTATAAATCGCTGGTAAGACCACACATTGAATATGCTGTGCAATTTTGGGCACTTGTTCTAAAGGAGGATATTATGGCACTAGAAAAAGTGCAGAGGCAGGCTACAAAATTAATAAAAGGAATGGAACATATCAGCTATGACGAAAGGTTAACAAATTTAAACCTCTTTAGTTTAGAAGAACGTCGCCTGAGAGGGGATATGATAACATTATACAAATATATTGTGTGGAAATCTATTCACAAACCGGACTTTACATTGGACGCGAGGTCATGCGTTTAGACTGGAAGAAAGAAGATTTCGTCTAAGGCAAAGAAAAGGTTTTTTTACTGTAAGAACAATTAGGATGTGGAATTCTCTGCCTGAAGAAGTGGTTTTATCAGAGTCCATACAGATGTTCAAACAGCAACTGTTACTTGCAAAAACAGAATATTCAAGGATATAATTTGTCAATGTAGGGTAATAGCTGCTTGATCCAAGGATAAATCTGACTGCCATTCTGGGGTCAAGAAGGATTTTTTTTCCTAGTTTGTTGCAAAATTGGAAGTGCTTCAAACTGTTTTTTTTTTTTTGCCTTCTTTAGGATCAACAGAAAAAAACAAATGTGAGGAAGGCTGAACTTGATGGACACAAGTCTCTTTTCAGCTATGTAACTATGTAACACTCTCACTAACAGACACACTAACAAACGTAATTTAAAAAAAAAAAATTGCTTACATTTAGGTGGCTTCTTCCCTGGGGTCCAGTGGGGCTGCTGCTGACTCATAGTGGAGGCGGCAAGGGAGCAGGGATCCTCCTGTTCGGCTCCCTCGTGCACCTCTTAGTGATGCCGGCGTGACATCATATTCCGGCTCCGACATCACTGCGGTGCGCGCAACGGAGTTGAGCAGGGAAGAGCTCAGAGTGCTCACTCGCCACCTGCCTCCCACATCAGCCAATGTCAGCCTCTGGGGGGGATTCAGGACTGTTGGAAGGTATGGTCACTATCCAGGGTTACCACCTCCTATTGCTGGGAGCTAAAAAAATCGATAGCATTCTGTAAATCATTTTACATTGTTTAAGGATGTTAATGGAAAAATATGAACAATCCGATGATGGCGTTCTTTTTAAGGGTTGACATTTTCTTCCCTTTTTCCAGCCTCTGTGCGCTCTACGGTCCATTTAACATTTCCATGTGACTTGCACCCATTCCTGACTTTACAAGATCAGTGAATGAACTCTATCAAGCAAACCTGCATTAAACCTGCATTCGGGCCAGGAATTCATTCTGCTAGGAGCCCCGCAAATAAGTTGATCACAAGTACACCTACAACACATGCTAGCTCACTGGCATCATAAAAAGGAGCCATGCCTGTCATCAACATAAGTGCGTCCACCAAATACCACTAAAATAGGAAATTTTTAAATGTATAGTTTATTTGGTGGAACTGTCTACTCCTTTAAAAGCATCTAAAACCTTGACTTTATTTGTATCTTTACCCCCACCCTACCTTCGAGATGACTTCATGGTTGTAAAATGAAACATTGCATACCTCTCCTAGTGATGACTGACGTGACCCTTGATCTTTTACCTTTCATATATTTCCAAGCTATCTTATTCTTCACATTGTATGTATCTTTACTACATACCTCCACGGCAGCAGCATTAACCCTTTATGGAGACAGCTTCAGAAATAAAAGGCAATCATGATGGAAAATGTCCGTCATGTGTCCTTAACCCCTTAAAGACACATGACATGTGTGACATGTCATGATTCCCTTGTATTCCAGAAGTTTGGTCCTCAAGGGGTTAAAGTAAACATTTCAAACATGTTGTTATTATTATTGTTGGTATTTTATAGCGCCAACTTATTCCGCCGCGCTTCATAATGTTATACAAAATGGGAAATTTGGCAAATCAGTTAGACAATTACAAAGTGATACAGGAACAATAGGTTGATGAGGACCCTGCTCCAACGAGCTTACATTACTATTCTGTGTTTATTTTGAGTCTGTGTAATTTTGGAGCGTGAAGTGTTAGGATTTTTTATACCTCAGGAAAACTCATGTTTTCAAGATGATTTTTCTTGTTACACACAGGGTTATTTACAAATAAGAATTCAAATTAAAAGTCAAAATAATCAAACTAGAAAAATTCATTGTTAGCCGTGTTTTAAAGGGTTACTCCAATCACCATAACCATTTAAGTAATTTTAACTGGTCATGGTGGTAGGATCCTGGATGTAAAGTGGAACGCCAGAATTACACTTGTGTGCCGGGGGCTAGTTACACTGTTCTGGGCTTCTTGATGTCAATTCTGTGCATCTTTTATGTCTGTCATCTGCATGCTAGCAACGGGTAACAATCTGCTGGTGGGGTGGAGTGCACAGTGGGAGGGAGACCGCTTCCTCACACATCCCTCCGTTGCTTTATTTATTGTTTTTTTTTTTATTATTAGAAATCCCAACCTCCTTCAGTAGCTCAGATTGCGCCCATGCACTCTTTAGCCGTTGAAACTGACCAACACAGGCTTCTCTATGAGGAGCGAAATCAGCGTTGGGTGCTTTGCCCAGTGTTGGATTCCAAGTAAGTTTTGCCCAATGCCAGAGACCCACATTGTCAATGTTTTTCCCCTTATGACCTTATAGAAATGTTATAGTATGATTTTTAAAATTTTACTTTTGTGAACTTAAAAATTCATATTACAATATAAAAAAACAAGCTCAGTAATTGTAACAGTAATAAATGTTTGCAGGATATTGGTTGAGCTTGTGAAGCATTAGAAAAACCTAGTTCATAAATAGAGGGCTGCCATCAGAAAGTTACCCATAGTACTCTCGGAAGGGGCATATGAGCCGGTTTTGTTGGGGAGGATAATATTTTAGTCCCATTTGTCAACAGATCACTTCCAAACGGTGCACATGAAGCTGTGCAGGATGCAAGAGGAGCTGACTGGCAACTTGGTTCAGCCATCCCTCCCAAGTAGACCCCAGGGAAGCCACCCTCTTACTGCAGATACATATGGAATCAGGGGTGAGGCTTTTAAAAAAAAAAAAAAAATCTATATGTTGGTGTGTGTATGGCTGTATGTGACTGTAGGTGAATCTAGGAATGCATCTCTGTGTTCCACTGTGAATATACATCTGTATGTATTTGCAAGTGTACATATACACGTGTCTGGAAGTATGGGGGGATGCGACGGGGAATTGCTTAAAGGTGCCCAATCCAGCATTGCCAATCATTCAGAACACTGAAGGTTTTTGTACTTTTGTATCAAGGTGCACAAATGTTAAAATTACCAGGAAAAAGATGCTTCTTTTGAGCACTATATAATTGGATGTTGTGTCGTATAACAACAAAGTATTTAACTAGAAAGGAATGTGATCTGTTTTCCAATTACTTTTGTCCAACATTCAGAGGGGATGTTACTATTACCCAATTTAATGGAACTCATTTTATCTACCTCAGAAGGATGAAGGGCTGAGTCAACCTTGCTGGAATTTGAACCTGCAAAATATTCTACTAATGTTGCTTTACTCCACTGAGCTATTTCACCAGCCTTTATTGCATTAATAAATGCATTTATAATATGTTTTCTTCTGACCCGATGCGTGTCATTATGGATCATATGCTATTTTTTTTTATTTTTTTTAGCCCTCCCTATGTTCAAATAGTGAATATAAGACCACATTGCAAACTTTAGATTAAAATAGCCAAATTGTGACTGGACGGGTAGGACAGATCAGCCACCTTGACCTTTAACTATTGCAGTTATACACAGTTTAGTGTCTATTGAATAAACTTCAGTGTCCTTTCTCAACAAGAGATCTGATTTATTCTGTTAGCAGAAGATCTTCATGGACCTCCATCCACATGTATTATCATGCTGTATGGGAACCATTTTCCATTGAATAGTGAACCTTATTAGGAAATTGCTCTTTTTACATTTTCTTCCCACCCAATTGTTTAGCCTAGTGTGTGCTAGTCTGTGAGACAAATAGCATTTTTTTTTCCCCATTACAAAATTAAAGAAGTTAAACAGTTTTTGAATGTGCACTTTTAGTTTTTACCACTCCAAGGGTTTTGTACGGACAGATTTTAAAATGTTGCTTACTTTAATGTATTCAGTGCCTTAATTGGCGTGGATCGTTTCTTATTTTGCTTTTAAAGTAAAAAAGGTTTTAAATTAAATATCTTGGATTTACATTCCAGACATGAATATCATGTGACGCCCACAGTCTACTAGGGTAGAAATAAATCATATGTGCATTAATAAATACATAAAGGGAATTAAGGAGAGTATATTTAAAAGAAGAAAAACTAACCACAACAAGAGGACATAGTCTTTAATTAGAGGGGCAAAGGTTTAAAAATAATTTCAAGACGTATTCATTTTCACATAGGGTTGTGGATGCATGGAATAGCCTTCCACCTGAAGTGGTAGAGGTAAACTCAGTGAGGGAGTTTAAGCATGCGTGGGATAGGCATAAGGATATCCTAGATATAGGATAAGGCCAGGGACTAATGAAAGTATTTAGAAAAATGGGCAGACTAGATGGGCCGAATGGTTCTTATCTGCCGTCACATTCTATGTTTCTAATTACATTGTGAGTCCTACAGTAAGTCACCCTTTGAATGGCAACAGGACATTGATATTATATTGCGAGAGACTCAAATTTAATGACACCTCTGTAGTTTGGAAGCTCCTGTGAGTGGGGAACTAATAATTCTGGTTTATGTTCAGCTTAACTAGTCACAATTTATTTAATTTCCTCTTCCAATTGTGCAGTGCTAGGCAACTTACCAAATATGTTGGTGCAATATAAATAACAGTAACCCACCACCACCCAAATAATAGGTTCGTCACACAGCAAGCAAAATTTAAAAAAAAAAGTTTTATTTTTTTTTTTTTCGTCACAGGCTCGTCATCTTTTCAATATGAAAAAGCAACAGTAAAAATAAAAAATAATTCTGGTATGGGTACAGCAGGAGAAGAAAGAATGAAAAGAAATTATAGAGAGAGAGAAAGAAACAAAAAAACATGAAACATCCACGTTCCATTTTGTGAAAGTCTTCTTCCCCACAACCCCCTTTAAAATAAGAATGTATCCATATTTATTTATATCAATCTATTTCCAACAGCGTAGATGATTCTGACCATTTCCCATGATGCTTAGTCACACTTTAGGTTGATGGACTATCAAGGGATGTGTAGTTCACAGACATCATAGGTTTGCCCTCATAGCTTTAAATCATAGGTGTACTCCCTTCTTTCAGCTGTTGGAACAATCGTGCATCCTGTTTTTGATCAGCAATCTCGTCTGTTTGGAAATGAAGAGCTAAAGTTGCTCAAAGCATGACAAATGTTTGTCAATGAGGCCCAATATCTTAAAGCCAACCAAGGATGGTGCAAAAATAGAGCCATTGTATCTAATCTAGCTCAGGGCTAGTGGAGAGGCAGTGACAGGTAGAAGATTAGTAGAATCCACCACAGAGGGGATCCACAGTAATAACTTAAGGAAATGGATAGGAAACACAGACATTACCACCAAACACTTTAATAAGGCCTAGAATAGCACAGAACACGACAGGAGGCTACCAGACTCTCCTACAATCTGAGGGCTTTACTCGAGAATTGGAATTTGACCCATTCGCGACTGTAGAGACCAGCACTCAGTCACAGAAGAGGTGAGAACATTGTGGGAAAAATAGGCAATGATGGAAAAAAACACCCACAATGTTTGGCGAATCCTTATCTAAGTACAGAAGCCAAATGAGGCTTACTTGCTGCATGTTAAGGCCAAAGACCTACCTTCAACCATTAAAGGGACACTCCACTGTTCAAATTGACAGCCAGGATGTGTAGCAAGATTAAGATATAAAAGTGCCAGTTTCTATTGAAATCTGCACTTTTTGTAAAATGAAAAAAAGAAGACACACTCTTCGCACAGAAAGCACTTCTGCAAGCAAAAGTGCTTTACGAGTCTGGAGTGTCCCTCTAAGCCAGAATCATAGCCCACTAGAGTCAGGGCCTACCCCCATTGACTAACACAATATTTCTGGAGCATGAATGATAAAGAAGAGAAATAGAAACAGAAGAGCAAAAACAGGAAGAAATGGAAAAAAGATGGAGTAAAAAAAATGCTAATCTTCGTTTCGGACTTTTCTCAGCCTGAGAATGAAGGAGGAAAGATGGAGAAGAAGAGAGATGTTGGTATTGGAGATAATCTAAGCCTCCTCTTCAGCCTCCTCATTGAAATCTTCCTCTTCCTCAGCTGTAGCATCTTGATACTGCTGGTACTCGGAGACAAGATCATTCATGTTGCTCTCTGCTTCAGTAAATTCCATCTCGTCCATGCCTTCTCCTGTGTACCAATGCAGGAAAGCCTTGCGGCGGAACATAGCTGTGAACTGCTCTGAGATACGCTTGAACAGCTCCTGGATGGCAGTGCTGTTGCCAATGAATGTAACCGCCATCTTAAGGCCTCTTGGTGGGATGTCGCACACAGCTGTCTTGACATTGTTGGGGATCCATTCTACGAAGTAGCTGCTGTTTTTGTTCTGCACATTCAGCATCTGCTCATCCACCTCCTTCATGGACATACGTCCTCGGAATACAGCTGCTACTGTCAGGTAACGGCCATGGCGTGGATCACATGCGGCCATCATATTCTTAGCATCAAACACTTGCTGGGTGAGCTCTGGCACAGTCAGTGCACGGTATTGTTGGCTGCCTCGGCTGGTCAGAGGAGCAAATCCGGGCATGAAGAAGTGAAGACGTGGGAAGGGGACCATATTGACTGCAAGCTTGCGGAGATCAGCATTGAGTTGACCAGGGAAACGTAAGCAGGTGGTGACACCACTCATGGTGGCGCTGACCAGGTGATTGAGGTCTCCATATGTAGGTGTTGTCAACTTAAGGGTACGGAAGCAGATGTCATAGAGGGCTTCATTGTCAATGCAGTAGGTTTCGTCTGTATTCTCAACCAGTTGATGCACTGATAGAGTGGCATTGTATGGTTCTACCACTGTGTCAGATACTTTGGGTGAGGGCACAACACTGAATGTGTTCATGATTCGGTCGGGGTACTCCTCACGGATCTTGCTGATGAGAAGTGTTCCCATTCCAGAACCCGTACCACCACCTAGGGAGTGAGTGAGCTGGAAGCCTTGCAGACAATCACAGCTTTCTGCCTCTTTTCTCACTACATCTAGAACAGAGTCTACCAACTCTGCTCCCTCGGTGTAATGGCCTTTGGCCCAGTTGTTACCAGCACCACTTTGACCTAAAAAAGGCAAAAGAAATATTAAGGTAAAATAAAAAAGTGAAACATCTTATATTCAAAAGCATCTTAAAAGGAACACATAGTATTAGAAAAATAAAACCATTTTCCTGACACTGTAATGTCCTAATATCCTAGTACCACCCCCATCTGCATTAAAAAATTTCCAGCGCTGAAACTCACTGGGTGCTGCTGCCCGCATCACCTCGCACAACATCATCATGGAGGAGTTGCTTCCACAATTTATGTCTAACCCAATGCTCCTCGTAGTTCCTTAGGGATGAGGTGCATGAGCACGGCAAGTGTCACATGTATCCAATCAAATGCTTCAAATTGGAAGGCAATGAATTCAATGCTTTTCTACGAGCTGCATTTGGTTATAATGACAGCGGTTTAGTTCACATGACAGATTTTTAAAGGAGACAGTCACAAGAGATGCATTTAACTTTGCAATGTAAACATTGTGATTTCTAGAGAATGACAGTGTTTTACATTGCAAGACACAGGCCCACTGCACTAAACCCACTTTGAGATGCATTTAGCAGTCCTTTGAAGAAGTTAAATGTTCATGTGGACACGTAAAAAAAACCACACAAGACAACATTGGAACACAACCTGAAATGCAGACATTAAGACTTTCCTTACCAAAGACAAAGTTGTCGGGCCTGAAGATCTGTCCGAAGGGACCAGAGCGGACAGAGTCCATTGTGCCGGGCTCCAGATCTACCAGGATGGCACGGGGGACGTATTTACCACCTGTGGACAGCAGAGGGTGTAATTAAAGAGAGAAGATTTAACTTTTAAAATAAGATTAGTATCTATTTTTTTTTTCTCCTCTTCACAGGGGAACGAGAAACTATCCCATTAAGAAAAACAAGTACGATATAGTAGCATGTCCTAAGAACAGCGTGGCGTCTTAGATCAGAGAATGACAAGAGGACACAGACTGTAAAGAAATCATTTAAGGAGAAGGATGCTAATTAAACTCTAAAGAGGAATTATCCTTTGAAGTCTGAGCTGATCTTGAAAGCACAGATTACGACTCCATACAGCTAAGCAATTTACCAAAGTTTCATCTCCTACCTCTGTATACATACATAAGCTTACAGTTATGGGAGTTGTATTGAGTATGCCTGGACCTACATAATTATAGGAACCCATTGCCCAGTGGATCATTTCCGCAGCAGGCTTGGAAATGGTGTCTTTATATTACCTGTGGCCTCGTTGTAGTAGACACTGATCCTGTCCAACTGGAGGTCACTGTCCCCATGGTAAGTCCCTGTTGGGTCAATTCCATGTTCATCACTGATCACTTCCCAAAACTAAAAGCAAGAATTAAAACAAACTTTAAACAATGTACTTTTACCTAAACAATAAAAGATATATAAAATATATATATATATATATATACACATACATATATTATACATACACATTGTAACATCATGTTATCTGGTTTTCTCTTGTGATTTAAGAAAACAGGAAGTTATAACCACTTCTCCCTCAGTTGACACATCTGCCAATCTTACCCTGCCTCAAAGGAAATTATGGTAAACCCGTTTCATGGACAAAGAGTTCTAGCCCAAATTTCTAGAGTCTCATCAGGATGCATTTTGACCCCTTTGATCTGTTCAGTCTATAAATGTGAAATGCATCCTGATCACTGTTTTTCTCTCTCCTGATCTAGAATTCATTCACATGACACTCCTTGTGACGGGCTGCGAGTCTGGGTCGAGACTTTTAATGAGCTTTATATCTCGCTCTAGATCTGGAATGCACCTGGCTATATTTTGACTCTAGAAAAAAAATGGGGAATTGGGGGCACTTCTGGAACATGCATCTCTCAACAGTGGTGCTTCTGCAAAAAATTATACAAAAATACAGATTAAGTAACATCCACACGCAAAAATAGTTTTATGTTTTACAAGGTTAGGTGATTTTAAGTAGCAGAGTACGGTGTAAAACTGTATTTTTGTGTGCGCGCAGTTCCTTAATCTGTATTTTGTATCATTTGACTCTAGAACTGCATACCTGCCAATCCCTGTAAACCGATTTATATCAGGCTCTAGATCCTCATCTTACACTCAGCAAACAGTTTTATATCTGCATCCCACTCCACTGCATATAGCCTGTCGTGTTCTAGATCGGAGGTTCGATCTCCACATTGTACCCATTCCTATCTAAGAATATATATCACCGCCTCTACCTCCCTGTAACTCTTCCTAAGGGTCTACATTGCATTGTATCTCGCACGTGGTCATATAATGATTTTGATGTGCACTGCACTTCTCGCTTGGTAATCTGCTCTTAAAGGAATACGCCAATGGAATGTTTTTTAAAACAATTTATTAGATGTACCTTTAATGTAAACATGCATTTGTTGCTTGCATTTGTTCATTGACTATATCTAAAAGCAGTTTGCAAAAGCTGCAGATATCTTGTCTGCAGACTTTACAAGCCCTTGCCTTCTAACCCCACCCAGATATTCTGCAGCTGTCCAATCACAGACTTCTCAGTGCAGCTCAATTAGAAATCTTTGCAAGGCAGGTGCTCTGGGCAGTTGCTGCCTCGTGAGTTTAAAATTCATTGAGCTAAGCAAACTACGAAGTAAAAGGATCTGTTGCCTGATTGACAGCAAAGGGGTGTAACAAGGTAAATTTATAAAAGTGTACATTTCTATAGAAATCTGCACTTTTTGTTAAATGAAAAGGAAAACAAAAGGACACTTTAGGTGTTTGGAGTGTTCCGTTAACTGCAGTCGATTTTGATCACAGTTTGTTCTCCCCCTATTAGTGTTTAAATTGGCAAACAAGACTCGTACCCATCGCAATCGTGTTTAATACATTCCAGGCTGCTTCTTCTGACTTGACCAGCTGATCATTTTATTACGGATAGTCCAACCCTATATATTCTACTCTGGAATATCTGTGCATTTTAACAACTAGACCACACCCATGCTTCTTATTCTAGACACACACTATAATATGTGCAGAAACTGCAACTATGGCGCATACGCTGGTTCTGCTGTGCATTCTAATGCCCACAGAACATTTTTTTTCTGGATCAGAACATTTTGATTCTGGATCACTAATGCACTCTGCTTTCTATAAAAGATCTCTATGATATTGCTTCATGCTCTTATTCTGGATCTACAATCTAGATATAAATCTAGATTGTAATATTTGATTCTGGAGCTGCGATGGTCATTCTTGTAATCTTTGATTCTGGATCGGCAATGTTCATTCTTGTAATCTTTGATGCTGGATCGGCGATGTTCGTTCTTGTAATCGTTGATTCTGGATTGGCGATGTTCATTCTTGTAATCTTTGATTCTGGATATGCAATGCTTCTTTCTTCCTGTAATCGACTAGGATTCTGGATTTGCATGGCTTCTTTCTCCCTGCAGTCTGTTCTATTTCTCTTTCTCTGGCCCAGGATTTGTAATACATTCTTTTTACTTTCATTCCCCCACCCCCTCTCCACATCAGCAGAGGAAGTCATAGAACAATAAACCCTCTCAAATGCAGTGTGGAGGCAAGAGGGGAATGTGACACAAAGGACCTTCCCCCAAATTAAATCACCAGAAGACCAGTGATCTCACTCCTAAAATGTTTCCTTAGATGAGAACAACAGCCTCGTCATTTAATACAAAACATTTAAATAAAAGCTATAGATGTGTTTTGTTTTAGTTCTGCTTAATTGGTGCATTGCAGATACATTTGTATCTACACACAAATACCATGTACTGTGGATCAATCCACATACACAGTGTGACATTTAAACCCCGGGGTGTGGTAGTACAGCTGCACCAAATCCCCAGGAATGGACAGACTGAGCTACGCAAGCTCAAGACTCATATCCGCTAGCTCGCAGCCATAATGTCAGCACAGTTACAAAATGGGCAGGTCCCAGTTCGAGTCAGACTTGGCGTAGCTAACAGGCGGACTAAAGAAATGTCTGAGTAAATATTTATGAGCGTCCTGGATATTTATTCAGCATTACATTTCTATATTTAACATCAAAATTTCCTGGACATTTACTTCATTTTGTGTTTTACACTAAGTGTGTAAAAATAAAATCCATATTAAAAAAAAGAAAAAGATACTTCTTTTCTTTGTACCACTAGTGAAAAAAACAAAAACATTTGAATTAAAACCATTTTTTTAATTAGAAATGTATTTCGAAAATAAAGATGTGCATGCATTCAAAAAATATATATTTTTTGTGTGTGTGTACAAACCAGAATCATTTTCGTGTGAATATGTAGAATATAAATACATTTTCTATGCGTGTGCAAATCTTTTCTTGTAAATGTTTATGCACACACAGTACAGCACCCTCTCTAATCCGTACTGTAAGAGCATTACTGCCCAGCTCTGCTGCACTGCAGATATTGCCTACGTCACCAGCAATTTCCAGTAATATTTAGGGGCAAATTCTCACTCTAGAGTCTTACAGACCTCCTGTTGGGCAGTAAAGGATTAGCAAAATTAGGATTGCCTTTTTTTTTCTTCTCTAAAAGTCGACTCCCTCTACATTTTTGAAGCTTCCTGCCATGAAAGCAGAACAAAGGCAACGTTTTAAAAAGAGGGAGGGGGACTGAAGGGGGAGAGAGTTGGCGCCATAGCAAGCTCTTCTTGGCTTACTTGACAAGAAAAGGGGATAAAAAAGCGAACAAGTATAATAACAATTTTAACCCTAAAATACACACTTTTCTAACCAAATTCTAATATACGCAGATTACTAGGTGGATTTTCAAAAATTATTTTTCTAAAAATACAAACTCTTTTTTAAAAATATTTTGTATGGTTTTGCGGTATAATTTAGTGAATTTGCAATTAAAGATACTCTATGCAAAAAAAAATATCTACTATGCAACTTCCTGCAAATCTATATACTGGATGACCCTCCCCCACCAATAATTATTTGATGCATTTTAGCAATAAATTAAAAATAACATTATAACATTGCATCTATTGACTGGAAAATTATTGATTGGATGGAATCCATTTTAAAAATCTTCGAAAAAAAAGGGGGTTTCCTGCCCCCTTCCCCCTTCTACTCTCTGTCAGCAGTAAAAATATATATTAATATTACTCTAAAAATGCCTATAAACTGCCCATTCCATTTTTGGATCAATTTTTCTTTTTAGTTTTTCATAAATGTGACTTTTAAGTTTTAATGTTATTCAACAAAGCTTTAGTAGAAATTGCTACTGATAAAAAAATAAATAAAAATGATTAGAAATGTAAATTTATATTATATATTAAGAAATCTTAAATGTTTTAATAAATATATATTAAGAAGTCAGATTTATGAAAGAGACACAGCCCATTCCCAAAGGGGAAATTTTTCTAGCAGTAGTCTTCCCCCACGCCATTACAGTCTAAAAGAATCCATGCCTTACCGCCATTACAGTTTAAATCTACACATCTGGCAGAAAACACTATTTAAGCAAATTCTTAAAACAATCAAAACTGTAGTAGTCAAATAACCAGGAAAATAGAAAAAAAAATAAGGTATTAACAATGTATATTTTTTTACATTTTCTAATCAAACTAATAAACCGTGTATGCATATGCTATATACATAATTTAGCATCAAAAAATAATATAGAAAGCAAATTAAGTAGAGGATGCATTATTTTTTAAAAAAAATATAATTTTTTGATAAATAATTCGATTTTAAGACCCCACCTCCCCAAATTGATGAGCTAGTCAAAATGGCACGTTTTGCAGTAGAACACACTGTGTGGAAACTTGAGGGTTAGAAATACAATAAGAATGAATTACACTGCCACTAAATTTCCTATAAAAAAATATTTTAGTGCTGGTTTCCTTCTTAAAATACCGTTGATTAACTGATACTGATGATTAAGATTTGTTTTTGAAAATATGTTTTGTTTAATTACTGAATGGAGGGGTAGAATCTACAGATTTGTTTTAATACATATAAAAATGTGCAATTTCAGGGAGGTTGTATCTTACAGATAACGGTATTTAAAGAATAAAATGCCAGGTGGAATGATTGACAAGGGGTGGTTTCTGGCAGATAACGGATCATTAGGTAGTGATCTCCTCACAGTTTGGGGGTGATAATATTTCAGGGTTCACACAGCCCTACAAGGTGCCCCACGATGGAAATCCTGGCTCCTCACCTTGGCTCCGATCTGGTTGCCACACTGGCCAGCCTGGATGTGTACAATCTCCCTCATGGTTCTCGCGTGATGGGTGGTCTTGGAATGGAACGTTGGAAGCTGCGACGTTCTAGGATGGAACGTCCGAGACAATGGCGAGAGCTGCTAGGCAGGCAGCCGGGTACTAAGGGAAAGGGGAGGGGTCACCCTGCATGGGCGGGTTAGGGTGGGGGGGCATAAGGGGGCCCACTGCAATCTCTGCCTGGAAGTAAAGATACATTATTCAGTGCAGGATACATTTATAATATATGAGAAGCTGCAGGTTATATAACACATATAGAGTGCAAGATGGATACATTGAAATAGATTTACCAATTCTACAAACATTATCATTTACAGAATTCTAGAAATGTCCAACCAGGGATGCACTGACAGCATGCAATGTATGTTGTTTTGTGGACCCTGTACATACTTGAAAACGAGATAAATCTCAATGTATTTTTCCTGGTAAAATATTTTATAAATAAATGCATGGATTGTATAGAATATATATTCATTCTAATTTTGTCAGTCTAATCTGTTATGTACATCAATCTATGTAATCTACCTATATGTGTCTGTCTAGCTACCCATCTATCTGTCTGCCATATTCCTGTGTAATCTACCTATATGGCTGTTTGTCTGTCTATTATCTTACTATGTAATTGTACCCCATTACATAATCTACCTATATGTCTGTCTATTTTTTCACTATGTAATCTACCTACCTGTGTCTGTCTGTCATCTATGTAACCTACCTGTGTCTGTCTGTCATCTATGTGACCTACCTATGTCTATCTGTCATCTATGTAAGCTACCTGGGTCTGTCATCTATGTGACCTATCCTATGTCTGTCTATCTATCTACAATTTTAATATCAATAAAGGACCTGCATATTGAGTTTCACTGTGCAATGGACTAACATAATCTACAAATAATTAATGATGAGTTTAGACTAATGAGAATAGGAAGGTGGGAGGCTGTGGGCATAAAATCTTATATTCCAAATTAAGCCAGGCACTGATTTACAATATGGTAAGGTTTGAAAGGCTTTATATTATAATATAAAACATTCATTGTGATGCCTAATAATCTGTAATTTGAAGGGTTAATAAGAGACAACACGCGTTCTTTTTGTAACATATAATTGTATTTGTATAGTTCCAACCCAATGGAGTATAATCACACGTACTAATTATATATAACGTTTTATTGAACAGGATTTATGTCTAATTTACCTCCCCCACTTTCATATTCATTAAAGCCACTGAAAGTAAAAATAGCACCTGTCAGTTCATTTGTCTTTCTGAAGGATACAGAAATGCAGATGTTTTTACAGCAGATCTCGATAAATTCATAAAATTAGATGACTTCACAAATATGGTTAAATGCACTGGACTAGATTGTATGATCACACAATCACAGAATATAATGAATATTGAAAATGAAAATACAGACAGGACCTTATTGGACATGTATCATTCTATTGTGAATACAGTGGGGGCGGTTATATTCAATAAATAGAATGCAGCAGTTACATTCAATAAATAGGTTATAGTTTATAGAACAGGATGCAGTGGTAAAAAGTTCTATTCTCTGGAACAGAATGATGTTATAGTCTATATAAGACTAGTGAAGGGTGGGTATATCTACAAATATAGCCCACCTTATTTGATTGCACATTCCTGTCCTAATGTGTTTTACACCCCACCTCCTATAGAATGTAAGCTCGATTGAGCAGGGTCCTCTTCAACCTATTGTTCCTGTAAGTTTATTTGTAATTGTCCTATTTATAGTTAAATCCCCTTTCATAATATTGTAAAGCGCTACGGAATCTGTTGGCGCTATATAAATGGCAATAATAAATAATAAATAAATAAATTAGAATACAGCAGTGGGCAGGTACAGACTACAGGACAGAACGCAATGGCGGGCAGTGATTTGCCCTATAGATTAAAATACAATAGGGGTGGGTGGTTCAATTCTATAGTACGGAGAACAGATACGGATTATTCTATCATATTAAACCGAATGCAGTGAATGCGGTTTATCGTACAGAATGGAACGCAACAAAGGAATTCTATCTTATAGAATAGAGAGCAGAGATGGTGTTTTATTATATAGAATGGAGAGCAGAGATGGTGGTTCTATTATATAGAATGGAGCGCAGAGATAGTGGTTCTATTATATAGAATGGAGCGCAGAGATAGTGGTTCTATTATATAGAATGGAGCGCAGAGATAGTGGTTCTATTATATAGAATGGAGAGCAGAGATAGTGGTTCTATTATATAGAATGGAGCGCAGAGATAGTGGTTCTATTATATAGAATGGAGCGCAGAGACAGTGGTTCTATTATATAGAATGGAGAGCAGAGACAGTGGTTCTGTTATATAGAATGGAACGCAGAGATAGTGGTTCTATTATATAGAATGGAGAGCAGAGACAGTGGTTCTATTATATAGAATGGAGCACAGAGATAGTGGTTCTATTATATAGAATGGAGAGCAGAGATAGTGGTTTTATTATATAGAATGGAACGCAGAGATGGTGGTTCTATTATATAGAATGGAGCGCAGAGATAGTGGTTCTATTATATAGAATGGAGAGCAGAGATAGTGGTTCTATTATATAGAATGGAGAGCAGAGACAGTGGTTCTGTTATATAGAATGGAGCGCAGAGATAGTGGTTCTATTATATAGAATGGAGAGCAGAGATAGTGGTTCTATTATATAAAATGGAGAGCAGAGATGGTGGTTCTCTTATATAGAATGGAGAGCAGAGATGGTGGTTCTATTATATAGAATTGAGAGCAGAGATGGTGGTTCTATTATATAGAATGGAGCGCAGAGATAGTGGTTCTTTTATATAGAATGGAGAGCAGAGATGGTGGTTCTATTATATAGAATGGAGAGCAGAGATGGTGGTTCTATTATATAGAATTGAGAGCAGAGATGGTGGTTCTATTATATAGAATGGAGCGCAGAGATAGTGGTTCTTTTATATAGAATGGAGAGCAGAGATGGTGGTTCTATTATATAGAATGGAGAGTAGAGATGGTGGTTCTTTTATATAGAATGGAGAGTAGAGATGGTGGTTCTATTATATAGAATGGAGAGTAGAGATGGCGGTTCTATTATATAGAATGGAGAGCAGAGATGGTGGTTCTATTATATAGAATGGAGAGTAGAGATGGTGGTTCTATTATATAGAATGGAGAGTAGAGATGGTGGTTCTATTATATAGAATTGAACGCAGTGATGGTGTTCTATATTTCAGAATGGAATGCAGTAGAGAGTGGTTCTGTGCTACAGAATTAAACACAGTGGTGGTGGCAGTTCTATCCTGCCTTTTGGCTGTATCTTTTCATATGTAACATTATATTTCTTGCTTCACTGTATGTCCTCACAGAGAGAGCCCCCTTTTTATTCATAAAATAAAATTAGATGAGAGGACTGGTTCTCGGACGCTCTTAGACTCAGAGCTGCCCTGATATCGTGCTGTAAATTGTGAAATGGAAAAAACCCTGTGGTTGCTACACATCATCTTTTAAAAACACCAGTACTGGAGATTCCCAGAATATAATTAGAGTACCGATATTATCTGCAATAATTGGTCCAGGAAAAAGGCCTGTGTAGGGCTGCCAAGCCATCAGTGCCACACCTTGCTGGGGCTTTAGATCTTACTAGCTGAGAGGGTTGCAGTCATTTTCTCCCTCCCTATTGCATTGTACAATCTACTGTACTGCATTCCATAGAACCTGTGATGTTACATAGAGACATCAGATCTGGTCCATCACTGCTCAGAGCCCTAGAAGGATGGGGGATGGGGCATCAGAAAATCCCAAGAGGGAATGAGATGCACATCCTGCTCTGAATGTGCACAGAGCTCAATATCATTATACAGAGCTGCGTGTTCATCAGCCATCCCTGCATAGATGATTCCAGCTGTACTGCTGCCATTCCAGGGTGGGGCTCGGCGGATCAGCCACCCCCAATTGCATGGCCCATTTAATCTGCTTCTCCAGCACATGCCCCACCTGCTGCATTCGCAATGCAGGGGCCAGGCTGTCAGTTTAACCAGGAGATAGAGATTGAATGGGCACCATGCATAGTGAGCTACCGAGTGCATTCAATAGACATCCCTGATATTTTCCTTTTTCTGTATCCATTCCAGACATTCTTCTAAATCTGTATCCATCCCTCACATTATGGTAAAATCTGTATCCATTCCAGACATTCTTCTAAATCTGTATCCATCCATCACATTCTGGTAAAATCTGTATCCATTCCTCACATTTTAGAGTGGCCTTTTATTGTGGCCAGCCTAAGGCACACCTGTGCAATAATCATGCTGTCTAATCAGCATCTTGATATGCCACACCTGTGAGGTGGATGGATTATCTCGGCAAAGGAGAAGTGCTCACTAACACAGAGTTAGAAAGATTTGTGAACAATATTTGAGAGAAATAAGCCTTTTGTGTACATAGGAAAAGTCTTAGATCTTTGAGTTCTGCTCATGAAAAATGGGGGCAAAAACATTTTGTTCAGTGTAAATCCGTATCAATTCCAGACATTCTCCTAAATCTGTATCCGTTCCAGACATTCTCCTAAATCTGTATCCATCCCAGACATTTTCCTAAATCTGTATCCATCCCTCACATTCTCCTAAATCTGTATCCGTTCCAGACATTCTCCTACATCTGTATCCATTCCAGACATTCTCCTAAATCTGTATCCATCCCAGACTTTCCCCTAAGTCTGTATCCATCCTAGACATTCTCCTAAATCTGTATCCATCCCAGACATTCTCCTAAATCTGTGACTATATATAAATATTTTGTGATCTGTCCGTTATGTCAATAGGCAGATAATGTTTTCAAACTCATGACATCATCCATACAATTATTTTCTGTAATGAATGGGGAGAGAATAATGCACAGATAACCTCTCTGAAGTTTGGGGCCCCTAATCTCAGACAGAACCGGGACACCAAAATCAGAGGGAGTTACGCTGACAAGTGCCAGCTGCTGCCATTTTACCCAGGACTGTAACTACCACTAATCTCTGGCAACAGAGGGACATTTGCCTCACTGCTAACTTTACAGTAAAACCATGTTCTTAACCCCTACACTACACACTATCTATTTCTCTATTTATCTCTGATGCTGATT